AGGGTTGAACTGTGGAGTCCTTGGGGGTCTCTGAGCTTGGTTCTTTTCTTGCAAACGTTTTGTTACCCGGCTAGGTCACATCTTCAGTGCTAGAACGGGATGGGCTTTGCTCTCTGTTTATGTGCTGGGGCCTGCCCTGCCAGTGTCGGTGGGGCTGGGGGTTTTGTTTTGCTCCTCTGGTAGTTCCTCGGTTAGGGTATTGTTTACCGCTTGCGTGCCTGGTGGTAACCTCTGCTTATCTGGGTGATGATGGCTGGTGAGGAGATGTCCTGGTCTTTTGTTTTCCTTTTTATTGTCTCTTTTGAATAGCGTGTTTGAACTGTGTGTTCTGTTTGAATAGTGTGTGTACTAAGCAGAGATTACCACCAGGCACGCAAGCGGTAAACAATACCCTAACCGAGGAACTACCAGAGGAGCAAAACAAAACCCCCAGCCCCACCGACACTGGCAGGGCAGGCCCCAGCACATAAACAGAGAGCAAAGCCCACCCATTCTAGCACTGAGGATGTCACCTAGCCGGCAACGAGACGTTTGCAAGAAAAGAACCAAGCTCATAGAACCCCAAGGACCCCACACAAAGGAATCATTTGACAAGCATGGAATGGTCAATCTGGGGCTCCCGCAGTTCTACTCCCCCTGCAACCCAGCCCCTTGCTTTCCTCACTGGAGCCCAGGGCAATTACCTGCTGCTCGTGGCTGGGGTAGTTCTCTAGGCTGGCTTTATAGAAAGGCCACTGATCGTGGGCATAGCTGTAGACCCACTCGCAGAAGTGATTGGCAATGTCGAAGCCCCTGCAGGAGAAAGGAAATCTGTGTCTTGGGAAAGAGAGGCAGGGCTAAGCGCTGGGTTTACTCTACATGCACCCGTGTTTCTCCCAACCTCTGTCTACTCAGTAACCCACTTTTTTGAGTTTGTACCACCCACTAAACCAAAAGCGAATTCTCCAGGCTAATTTTACAGAATTGGCTATGTTTATTTATTTAAAACGTCTATATAGTCGCCCATTTTATTCTGAACTTTGGTTGGTTCCCAACCAACAGTTAAAACGGCATCATTGTAAAATTAACATATACACATATCTATTAAAAAATAGTAAAAGTAGTAAAAAACCTGGCACCATAATAAACTTTAACAACAGTCCACCACAAAAACTCTCATCGATCTCACCCTATCCCAGCCCTTGGGGGAAAAGCCAGGTCTTCAGTGCTTCCTGGAAGGCTGGGGGGGGGGGGGGGGGGGGGGCTGCTGAACTTTGGGGGAAGGGTGTTCCATAGGGCAGGGACTACCACGGAAAAGGCATACTTCCAAGATCCCATAAGGGACTACTAGCATGCCCACCCTATCTGATCTAGTAGGACAGGTAGATGTCCTTAGGGAGAGGCAGCCCCGCAGATAACCTGGCCCCATGCTATGTAGGGCTTTCAAGGTAATAACCAGCACCCTGAATTGCATGTAGAAGGAAACCAGGAGCCAGTCCAGCTCACGCAACAAAGGTATAACATGGGTAAGCCTAGGGGCACTCATCACTGTGTGTACCACCGTGTTCTGGACCAGTTGTAGCTTCTGGGTGATCTTCAAGGGCAGGCCCATGTAGACCGCGTTGCAGTAATCCAAATGGGAAGTAACCAAGGCATGAGTGACTGTGAGCAGGGCCTCCCAGTCCAGGAAGGGGCACAACTGGCACACCAGAAGAATATGTGCAAAGGCCCCTGCTAGCCACAGCTGCCACCTGCTCCTCGAGCAGGAGTCGTGAGTCTAGGACCACCCCCAACTTGCACGCCAGCTGAGTCCACGGGAGTGCCACCCTGTTCAGAGTCAAAGATGAAATATCGCCGGGGGGGGCAAAATCCCAGAGCCACTCCATCTTGCCAGGATTGAGTCGAAGCCGGTTCCTCCCCATCCAGACCCTTACAGCCTGCAGGCACTCGGCCAGCACTGCCACAGCATCACCTGTCTGGCTAGGGGTGGAGATACGCAACTGAGTAACACCAGCATACTACATACTAAGATCTACACGAAACCGCCGGGTGAGCTCATCCGTCACCACGGGGTGAGGCATCGTCAGTGTGCTGATGATACTCAATTGCACATCTCTGACCCCGAAACTTAAGCGAGGCTGTGGACGTCCTATCCCGGTGTCTGGAGGCTGTGAGGGACTGGATGGGGGACCGCAGCTCCAACCGAACCCTGGCAAGACGGAGTGGCTCTGCGTTTCAAGCCCCTCTGGTTTTCGGACTTTACCATCTTTGGTCCTGGATGGGGTTGTCCTGCCCCAAACAGACCCTGTGCACAATCTGGGGCCGCTCCTAGACCCATGACTCCTGCTTGGGAGGCAGGCGGCAGGCGTGGTTTTGCAAACTTCCTACTGTGCACCAGTTGCACCTGTTCTTGGATCAGGGGGACCTTCTCACGATCACTCATGCCGTGGTCACCTCCCAGTTGGACTTCTGTAATGTGCTCTACATGGGGCTGCCCTTGAAGGGTACCCAGAAACTTCAGCCGGTGCAAAATGCAGTGGCGCGAGCAGTTATATGTGCCTCTGGTAGAACACGCATCACACCTCTGCTTCGCAAGCTGAATTGGTATCCACTTTGTTTCTGGGTCCAATTCAAGGTGCTGGTGTTGACCTTTAAAGCCCTTCAGGGCACAGGTCCAGGTTACTTAAGGGGCCGCCTCTCTCCATTTTCATCTGCCCATCCTACTGGATCTGGCAGAGAGGGCACATTATGGCTTCCGATGCCTAGGGAGCAATTTGGCGGGCCCTAGGCGGTGGGCCTTTTCTGCTGTGGTGCCTGCACTGTGGAATCGTCTTCCTCCTAAGGTGAGGCTGGCCTCGTCACTGAGGTCCCTCAAGACTTGGTTGTGCCGGCAGGCCTGGGGAGCCCAGGGGGTGGGTGATCTAGTGAGGTCGCTCCGTTATTTTTAATGTCACTTTGCTTATTATCTTCTGTTTTAGTTTCATTTTTTATATTTTTATACTTCTTTAATGTATTTATTGATTGTTTTTTAACCCTGTTGTACGCCACCTGGAGTTGCTTGGAAAAAGTGAGATGGGCAGCTAATAAATTGTGTAAATAAATAAATGAATGAATGAAATGAAATACTGATGATAGCGCACCCCATTCCAACGGATGACTTCCCTCAGCGGTTTCATGTAGATGCTGAAAAGGAGAGCCGAAAGGCTCAAGCCCTGAGGCACCCCACAGTGCCGGGGCCTAGGGCTCGACCTCTCCTCCCCCACCAACACCAACTGGAACCAGCTGCGGACGGAGGAGGAGAACCGCCGTAACACAGTACCTCCCACCCCCCAAAGCCGGTCCAGAAGGATACCACGGCCGATGGTATCAAAAGCCACCGAGTGGCCCAGTTGCACTGCCCCTGTCCTGAGCCCCCCAAGAATCATTGACGAGTGCAGCTGATGCCTTTTCAGTGCTGCGCCCTGGCCTGAACCCCGACGGAAACACATTAGACAGGCTAGAAGAGGTTGGAAAATTTGTGGTTTAGCGTGTTGTGAACATGCACTGGTTGTCTTGGCGTGATACATGAGCCAGGCTGTCATGTTGAGCTGTCAAACAGTTTGCCTGTCTGGGCACAGCAAGCTGCTGAGCTTCATTAACGTAGGGTTCGGGTTAAGGGTTCTGCAGGAGCCCAGCCGACAGGAACACCACCCATGATGGTGTGCAGGGACCAGGCCTGCCAACAGGCAGCATCTGAATGGCATCTCTCACTGTGCTTCCTACTGCCCAGCAACTGTATGTGGGCACAGGCAGGCAGAGTAGCCCGAGACTGACATCTCCATATCCGACTATTAAACATTTTGCTTTAGTTGTAGGAGAGTTACGTTTTTTGTGACTTGTCTGAGAATCTGCTGGAGACCTGCAACTGTGGCACCTTAAGCAAATAACTAGCAAATGCCCCCTTGATCCGGTCTCTATTGAAGCATCCAGAAGGCAGGGGGCTGCCCTGTCAAGCTGGGGCAGTGGGCCTACCTGTAGTTGTAGCTGCTGTACTCAAAGTCGATCAGCATGAGCCGGTCAGGAGAGGAGGCCTCACGGCCAGCCAGGAGCAGAATGTTCCCTGGGTGGGAAGAAACGGGGAAGGTGAGTGGGCCAGGGCCCTGCCTCTGCTCCATCAGCCCGCTCAGCGCCTCGGAGGGCTCCTCCCATGTACCCAAGAGATGCGAGCGAGCACCTGGATTCTCTTCCGCTCACGCCCTCACCTTCTTGTACATCGTTGTGGCAGAAAACCACAGGGGATGGGGTGGCCTCCAGCAGAGCCCTACAGTGCCAGAAGAAAGAGAGAGCGCTGGAAAGGAGGAAAGCCGCTTTGCACAGCAGACCCCCTTTCCCTAGTAAGGGAGGAGCAACGAAAGCAAGGAAATTGTTTTGAACCACTGGAAGTGTGGCTTCATGACACTCCCTGTGTCAAATGTGAAGCTGCCTTTCGGGTGTGAAACAGAGCGCCTCAAGCCTGCTTGGATCCACCCATTCTGCCCTCCGGGCAGCCCTTCCATGGTCCAAGCGGGGCCGATCGCAAAGCTGACAGGAAGCCAGGCAGGCTTGACAGGAACGATCTCCTCATGGCCCAGCTGGAGCTCAGGCGCCCGGGGCACCCAAAGGGCGGCCTGGGGTCACAACCTGACAGCCTCTCTCTGCGCCTGCTCACCTGAGGCTGCACATTTCGGCCTCCAGGTTGTATGCCTTGAGCTGACTGAGCTTGTGCCGCTGGGCTTCCTGGGAAAATGTAAGTTCGGAAATCTGCTTCAGGTACCTGCCAGGAACGGAGGAGGAGGAGGAGGAGGAGGAGACAAATGACTCCCTGCCTCTCTGCTCCGGCACTCTGGGAGGGGAGGACTGTGGTTTCCCTGCCCCAGAGTGAACCTCTGTGGTCTCCTCTGGATCTGCAGCAAGGGTGGAGAGGCCTGAAGACCCTCCCTGGGAGGCCTCTGATGCTAACGCACAAGGCCAGCCCGCTCAGAGACCTGCTCTTGCATGGAGCAGCCCCAGCAGGCCTGGAGCTTCTGCAGCCAAGGGGCCAGCCCAGAACCTTCAGTGGCATTGAAGGGCCCTACCTCTCCATGGTCCCAAACATCCACTTGGGCTCCTTGTTGAAGGGCATCACCATGCCATGGAAGCGTGCCATCTTTACTGCGATCTCCGCTGAGATGCTGGGGTCCGGCAAGTCCTCCGTGACCAGGCGGCGGCTCTGGGGGTGGGGGACACAGGGCAGTCCTGAGGCCATGGGCAGGTTGGAGGAGGGAGAGTTGAAAGCATTTCTGCTAACAATCGTGGAAAAGCGGGTTGATGAGGAGAGGCTGTGGCGGCTTTGGGAGTCCCTGAATTTATATTTATTTATAAGCCTGGTAAACTGCAAAAAATCTGTTGAAACCAGGTGGGGTGGGGGGAGGAGCCAGACTGCAAGGAGCAAAGGACTAGGGACACGCATCAGACAAAGCCACAAGCAGGCTTGTCTGGGTTGGGCATAACACAACATCCCACCCTCACGACATTCCAAGCCCTTGAGGACCTGGCTGTTCTCCCAAACCTTGTGGGGGGATGAGCCCCTGTCAATTGTCTTTGTCTTATACTACATGTGTGTTTCCAGATATGGTTCTTTTTTGCCTGTTCTATAACTTTGTGGGTCTTTTCCCCTTACTTTTTAAATTCTAAGCCATCCAGAGTTGTTTGGAGTTGGATGGCCTCTAAATTTAATAAAGTAAAAAAAAAATTTCATGCAAGGCAGGGCTGTGTCTGATCTGCACGCAGGTCGAAACCTCTGCACAGTATGCATCTCCGACAGCAACCATGGGCTCTCGGGACACCTGGAATGGTTGTTGTGAGGAGAGTCCTGCCCCCTTCTGCTGGGGATGGCAGCCTGAGTGCCTTGAAGCAAGGACGGGGCGCTAACCAGAAGCCTGATCCTGGAGCCACAGGCAAAAGGCACTGACACCCCCTCAACACACCCCACTGTGCTTGCCACCATTTAATTCTTCACATGATTTCATAAAATGTGTCTGTAGGTTTATGTACATGCGAATGGGGGAGTCAAGGAGAAAGCAATCCAGCAGGATCACTGTGTCATGGGAGATGGTGTTTGGTGGCCTTGCCAGGCTGGGTTCAGCCTCAGGTTGCAGCCTGATGACTTCTGCATCTGTTCTGGAGGCAGGTCCTGTGTGCAGGGAAGGGGTGGCACAGTACCGGGATGTATTCTTCCAGGCGTCCCTGCGGGAAGATGCCATACAGCCGTGGTCCCAGGGCCCGCTCAGCCAGGATGGCAAACATGACGCTCTCGAGCACCAGCGAGTCGACCCCCTGGGGGGGGGAGAGAGAGAGATGGGGGAACTGAAGGGGCCGCTCTCAAGAACATGCCAGTCTCACAAGGGCGTGGGCCTTCCAACGGGCTCCAGCAGGGCAAGGCCCCAGAAGCTTTGAGGTCAGCGGGGCAGCCCCTGATCTGCAAGCCAGAAGGGGTTGAAATGGCCTGTACAAGTGGACCACACACTATCAGAGCCTGAAGCCGGTGTGGGAGAGTCCACTGCCCAGGGACTGCTCCTTCAGCTCTTCTTCTGCAAGGAAAGCTAGCAGCAACTGGGACTGGTTAGCTCACATGAAGGGAGACGGGTGAGAAGGCATAAAATCACTTGTGGCAAATGCAAAGAGAAGATAGCTTTTCTCTCACGGGACTAGAACTCAGGGTCCTCTGTTAACAGTAAATGCAGGGAACCCAGAATCGCAGGCAGGCCCGGGCAAAAACAAAGATGAGTCTGATTCTCCGGATCCCTTTGTTGATCCTGAATCCTCCCGCAGAGAAAGACTAGAATCCCCTGGCAAATTGGTGGCCCCTAATTTAGATGGTTTTAAAAAGAAGGGGACATTTGCCTGAGAGCCAAGTTCCCCACAGTTCCTAGTCTTGATGGCTGCTGCACCCTGCATCATGGCAGCATCCTTCAGTACCACCTCCAGAGGGGCCTCCTCTCCCCTCCTGCGAGCTTTCCCTGGTTGTCCGTGGGAGACGCGGACCGCTGCACCAGGTGAAGTGGCTAAGTGGACCGTTAGCAGGATGGAGACTGGAGTGACCCCATCCCTCATGGGCACCCTCCCAAGCGAAGCAGAGGAAGACCTAGACCAGATCGCTCTCTCCAGTCAGGCTTCAGGCCAGGACACAGTACCGAGATGCCCGACTGAAAGCTATTGGCTCGTAGATGACTTCTGGCAGAATCAGAATGGGGCAGTGGCACCGCCCTGCTTCTCTTAGATCTCTCAGTGGCTTTCGATATCATCAGTCAGGATACCCTCCAGCCCTGGGAGCAGGCAGATGAAAAGGTACTCGAGGCCTGGAGGGGAAGCTGAGAGGGCGAAGCCGAAGGACTCACCTGGAGGATGACGCCATAGATGCGCAGCAGGACCTGGCGCGGCTCATTCTCCGAAGTCACGATGTGATCCGGCAGAGAGCACTTGTACAGCAGGTTACTCAGCCCACCGCTGTTGAAGAAGCAGAGCCAGGAAGGTTGAGGAAGAAGATGGAGCCAGCCAAGGAGAGCGTCCACTGGTGGACCAGAGAAAGGCGGCATCTGCCTCCTCCCAGAGGACACAAACGAGTGACTGCGGATCCTGTGAAAGTGCACGGCTTGCTGCTTCTCCCAGGCCCCGGGCAAGGAGGTCACAGAGGAACATCCCGCATTGCGTCGCGTGGAGAGGACCCAGCGGGGCTGCCCTCCCAGAGGCCAGGAGCAGGCCGGAGCAGCCTGGAAGTCCCTGACCCCAGCCCGGCCTTTCCTCGTGAGGGGGCTTGGCTTGGAATGGGAATGGGAAGCGTGTGGCTAAAGCCTATGGAGCGATCAGACCTGCCACCCATCAAAACCTTTTTGATTTACAGCCTTTAGGCCAGAGAATGCCGCAATAAAAATACATCGATCCTGCAATTATTAATAAAACTGAGCAGACACAAAATATAACAAAATTACCCAACCGCAGATTAACAGAGCAACAGTGGCAATCACCCAGACTCGGACTCATCTTCAGCTGCGGGTAGGACCGACAGGAGAAAGGCAACCTGGTCGGACGGAGGCCCAACCCCGGCCAGGTCAACGGCGGCAGCCGATCTTGCGCCGTCTCGGGGTCCTGCTTCGGGGGGGCAGCAGCGCGTCTCTTGGGAGGAGGCGCCCCGCAGCCCGTCAAGGCTCCCTCTCCCGCAGCCCCGGATAAGCCTGGGCGCCGCCCGGCATCGGCCAGCAGGCGGAAGGGCTCGGGAGCGCCGTGCCAAAAGCCGGGGGTGGGGGGCGCGGGGGCTGCCCGGTGCCAGAACGGCTGCCGGGTCA